GCTTTGCTGCTGTGATCCCAACGTCTAAAAAATACCTATATACCTGGCATATGAATTACTAAATTAGCAAACAAAAATAAAACAAAAACAAAACATAATCCCATTACCTGGAAATAATCACCGCTACAATAAGACTACTTTGAACCTCCTGTGTGAATTCATCCATGGCAACTTAAAAGATTGACCAAGCTTTTAGAATCAATATATGTTATTAAGGAAAAAACTGGTTGGAGAGTCAATACTAAAGAAACTTCCCTTTGAATTCCCCAAGGGACATCTCTCAATAGAACCACTACTACAAAACCACTTTTACTGTCACTCTCCTGCTCAAAACCCTTCCACAATTCCTTGTGCTTCCAGAAACTCTACCTTTTTTACAACCTACCCATAAGCTTCCCATCTCTTACTTCTATGAGAGACACTGTCTGCTCCAGTCAAATTCGGTGACACAATATACCCTGCCTCTACGCCTTTGCCCCTGACCCTACCCTGGCAAAAAATGACACTGATCTGTTCAGAAAGATACGATCTCCTTCACGAAACCATCCCATAGTGTCAGGCAAAAGCGATAATTCCAATCCTCCTCTCAACTACTGTAATTTGTTATTACCTGCAGCAATGAACACAGACCACCTCACTTTGGGGTTGTCTATATTTTGCTCCCCTGCTATACTGTAATTCCTTCAGGGACAGGACCTTTGTCTCACAATGTTTGTATCTACCCTTTTTTCTCAGTAAGCCCCAATCCAAACACTTAGCACTTAGAATACAAGAAATTAAGATGTGAACAAATGAAATGATGTGCTTCAGAAAGCCTCGATTTTCCCTACACTTGCTTGGAAATCGCTGAACGTAATCAGTTTATTATCGCAACTGTGGCTAGCCCTATAACTGGAATCCTTGAACAAATCTCAGTTCATGTCTTATCAATTGGTTATGTCTTCTCTGACATTCAACACATACCTAACACCCCTCCTTGTGATTCAAAACCAAAAACCAGTGTGAGAAGAGCCCAAATGGAATGTCATAAAAATGTTAAATAGGAGATTTCCCCAAGATATCAATGCTTACAGGAAAAGAGAAGTTGCAGCAGCAGGAGATAAGCGAGGCCAGGCACTCTATAAGGGCAGTAAATGGCTTTCCTGAGCCATCCTTTGCTTGCTTCAGAAGTAGTTTCTCTCTTAGTGTATTCACATTCGTAACAGGAACCTAAAAACTGGGTCAGCCTCTTCTTAATTAATACCAGTGGAACCAGGCAATGACGACGGATGCCACGTGCTGATTATGACACAAATGGGGAAGGAGGAAAACAGAAAAGTAGAGAGGTACAAAGATGAGCAGTTATCAGGGCTCTTACCAGCTGTCCAGGGGGTCTCTTAGTGGCACCCCTCGATCTGCTTTCTGCAGAGACCAACTTCTCCTAAGAGTCTGTCTGGACTAAGGCGTCAAGGTGCAAGTTGATAATTAACAGGGATCTTTCCTTTCCTCATTCCCACTTGCATGCTGAACTTGAAAAATGAGCACTGGACAATGGAGTCAGCCCTTTCATAGCTGTCAATTTCGAGTTTCTCGTTCAGTTTCCTTCATTTTACAAACGGTTATTGAGCAAGCTATTTTGTTAAGGTGATAAGAGGTGCACAAACATATGAACCTAACCCTGCCCTTAAAGAGTTCCAAAATTAACATAATTTAAACATCAGTCTCCGAAGGAATTTAGAGAACCCATCCCCAATCCCAGGTTTCTCTTGGCTATAACATTTTAATATTAACAGCAAGCCCCTTACCCAAACCTTGTGACAGAAAAGGCCACATCAATAACCTGGGAACAACACTTATTTTTTAAATGATAAACAATTTCTCATCGGAGGATTTACAACTCTATCTTTTTTTTTTTTTTTTGGTAGTTTAAAAATACCCCCAAAACAAGACAAAACAAAAGCAAAAGGTCTGAAAATTTATTTAATAGTAAATCCTACATCGAAGTAACCTGTAGTTGTGGTTCTCAGCTAACTGCAATCCAGAATCACCTGTGGAGCTTCTAAAACTCCCAAAGCCGAGGCTGCACCCAGGCGGCAGCATTTTTCAGCTGCTCAGGGGATTCTAAAGTGCAGCCAAGGGCAAGAACCACTGCTGTAAATCATTCTGCTCTTGAAATTGAAGGGAGAGGACTACGATCTGCATTACCCCATCTCCACTCCCCACTCCTCACATACACAGGCCAGCTGCAATTTTTCCAGATGCAGTTTTATGTTTCATGGACCTGGGAATGAGATCAAGCATGGAACACAACACTCTTCCACCCCGAGGAGTGAAGGTGCAGGAAAGTTATGTTAGATTCAACCATCTACGGCTATCGTTAATATTGCACCTGGGCTGGAACAGACGAAGGGGGCCGCAGGGAAGTCCCTTTACACTTGTCTCATCTAAACCTGCTGAGATCCTGACCTCCGATGCGGGCGGGAGGGTGGAAAGCGCAGCCTCCGGGCCCGGACGGATGGATGGATCGCACTAGGAAAGCGCACAGGCTGTTCCCGGCGAGGCGGAGAGAAAGCGGAGCCGCGGGGCGCAGCGCCGCAGAGAGCGAGGCGCGAGGAGCAGCGCTGGGAGGGCCCCGGTACTCACGCAAGTGCCGCCCAGCTTGTGGCTCTCCACCACGGCGGCCCTGGCGCCCAGCTCGGCCGCGCGGCGCGCGCTGGC